CTTGAAAGAAAAAAAGGGTGATTTCATAGTCCTGTTAAGCTATATTTTCATATTCTATTCTGGTCTTTATAATAGTTCGCAAAAATGTTATATATAGTTTCAAATTTTTAATATCAATCACTTATTAGAATCTAAGATAAAAAAAGTATAATTGGAATAATTATTAGTATGGTTGGAGTTAACTCTTATCGGGGAATTGAATTTTAAGTTATATCGAGATGAAATGGGAACTTAGTTATTATAAAAAAAGGGAAAGTGTTTATTAAAAGTTAGTTGACAAATTGGTGACTTTTTTTCAGTACACTCATTTGTAACTTAAACTAAGGTAGCAACATGGGGTACTACTAAGCTGCTTTATTTAAGTCACACTAACGAAACCTAAATCTGCTTTAATTATGTGATTTAGAAATTCCGCTTGCCTTCAAAGGTTTGGCCGAACTGCCAAGAGCTGGGCACGACGTTATCGAATTGAAGGGTCCTCGAATCACTGGTAGTGACTTGAAAGGACAGGCTCTGGCCCACAAAAACGGTACCAGTCTCCCAATTTTGGCCCCAGTTCTTTGACATCTTAAGCCACCCAGTAGAAGAGCCTTTAATGTTAACACCAACAACATCACCAGCGCCTCCAACATTAAAGGGTAGGACGATTAGCCAATATGGGTTCCCATTTAATTGGAACCGGACGCCACCTTGTTTCTGGCAAAGCACCCTACGGTAGCGAACATTGATGACACCAGCACGATAAGGGGCGATTTTAGTAAACATGTAGAGAGAAAGGTCGAAGTGCTCTTGGGGTGGATTGCACCAAATGTCTACTGTTTTCGTGTAGTTTGGTGGGCAGAAGTTTGTGGCGGTTATTTTGATTGTGCCCGAGTTTGGTAGGCACGTATAGTGTCCTCCGGGCCGACACTTTAACTCGAAGCATGCTCCACAGGTTAAACCGTTGTTGAAAAGTGCTGTGCTTATCGCCGCCGTCTCTAGCCCGTACCCTTGTTCGTGTAGGTTTCCATACCCGCAAGCTCCCTCTGTTGCAAGTAAGAAATAACGTTGATCTTAACATCGTATAAATATTAAAAGATAATGAGAAGATAGTATTTTGAAAGTGCAGTTAACACTTACGCATAGTTTCGCCACCCCCCATGTCACCGTAGAAGGTGGCATGAGCATTGCGCCATGCACCGTTGCTCTTTTGGATACCAATGGGATCAAGGAGCCTACACGCTATGGGGTCCGCCAAAAAGGCTGCAAAATTCAACCAAAGGAACACAAAGTTGAAGGAAGTAGCCATTGGTTTTTGTTTTTCTCTTGTGTTAGAGAAAATAATGGTGCAAGAACATGAAGTGGAAGTGGTGAATTTATAGGGTACAAAATGGATTTAGAAATGGAAAACCAAATTATATATCTGAATTGGTATATGATGAATGTTGGTAAGCCAAAAACGGGAAGGGAGAGAAGGATCCCATGCTGTAATGAAGCCCAAAAATGCAATTGAGAAAGCATTTGGTTTTTTTTTTCTCTTTTGCATTTTGAATTAAGGAATTTCATACTCTTGATATTTTGAATGATACTAAATAATTCTCTCCATTGGCTTTCCTAAATGGGGAACCCAATATTAATATTTTAGAATATGGTGTAGATCCCTAATAAATATTAAGATTTCCTATTTTTTTAATAATTAAAATATAAAAAATAATAAAATAAACTACTCTTCCATTTTTTCTTCTTTCTAGAATATCTTAATTCACGACGATTCTGGAGGTGTTAATGTCGGTTTAAGCTTTATCTATAAAGTTTGAAGTATAGGCTTTCATTTGGAATAAGAATCGAGCTAAGTCGTGTCTCCTGTCACAAGTTATAGTCTTTGATATTTTGGGTTTTCTAGTGTCGAATTTCTTCCGAATTCAAGAGTCATGATCAACCATTTTCCTTCGAACTTGTTCGGTCTACACCTTCTAAATAAGATTACCCACAAGTTTGATAAAGGAATCGGATGTTGAAGGAGCCTCAAATATCAATTCCCAATCTTGTCCGCCATTAAATAGAAGGGGTTGAAGCTTGAAACTCGAATTCGAGCCTACAAGCAAATTTGTCGAGACAGACCAATCCCATTCGATTTCTAAACCTTCAAAGAACATTTCCATAGAAGACCACGAACACTAACAAGTTTGGAGCGTGCCCAATTGAAGAAAGTCATATTCGAGTACAGATGGGAGAGAAGGATCGAACTCCCATCTACCGTCCATTTTTTCTTAAAATTGAGCCTTCGTTTAACTTAAGAGGATTAAGATGAGTAACTTTTTCGTCTTCTTTTCCTATGAATTGTTTTATGAATATTTTGACGCCAAACCTCATGTTGAATTAATTGCTCAATGGTCTTAAGTTTCGTTTTGGATCCCAAGCTTCTAAATATCTTGAGCTATTTATTGAATTCAAAAGATTTTCCTTGTGTTACGTAGGTAATGTAACGACAGTAATAAATAAATAAATAAAAGTAACTCATCCTTAAGTCAGAATGATGGTTCTAGAGAGAGAGAAAAATACATAAAAAAAATTGCATATACAAACAGAAAAGAAAAGATTTGCAAATAGAGAGAAAAAGGAAATTGTCATTTAGTTCAAGCAGATTTAACAGAAAAGAAGAGATCTAAAAATTCATTGGTATTCTTTTCTTTTCTTTTTTTTTTCTTTCTTTTATATTGTTGTAGTTACTTAGATTTTTAGTTATGGGTTGAAATAGGGAAGATGGAACATTTGGAGATGATTTAACTATTTTTTTAATTTGGATATGTGATTCAAGAACCATGTACGTCAAACAACTTAATTTCTAAGAATAAGAATTACTATGGAAAGAATTGACTTTTGAAATATCACTCCAATATCTTCTATAAAAATAATAATAATAATAGATAATGAAATCTTTAATTATATTTATATATATATAATATTTCAAGATAAAGTTTCTAATGCTCGCATGAAGTCTAACCGATGAACCATTGTAAAATATAGAGAATTGAACTTGAAATTGATGTCATGGGTCCACATAGGTTGATTTGGATACAAAAAAATAAAAATCGAACTTTCGTTAAGGATAAATTGGTGACACCAGCCTAAGATAATCAGGTAAGTGACATTATTATCGGCATGGTTATATTTGATGCTAACACATGCCATCTGGTTTTAAATTTAATATGAGTGAATTGTTTATGAATAGATATAATTATGATATATTATGTATGTGTTATGATATGTGAATGGTATGATAACTCTTATGTTATGTTGTGTTCAATGATATATGTGAGGTAGGATACGAGAGGGATGCAATAAATGTAATGTAACGATATGATTAAGACATGGTTGACATAACGATATGGTTAGGTTATGTATAGAAAATGATATGACTATGATAGATTGATAGAATGATATGGTTAGGATACGTTCCTGTAATAGTATGACTAGGATACATTCATGAAACGATATGGTTAGGATGCATTCTTGTAATGGTATGACTAGGATACGTTCATAAAACGATATGGTTGAATACATTTTTGTAATGGTAAGACTATGATACGATCATGAAACAGGATATGTTAGAATACGATATGATTAAGGTATGTTCATGAAATGATATGACTCTGAGATGTATAAGGATTATAAGACTATGACAAGTTTAGGAATTGATATGGCTAGGATATGCATATGGAAACGATATGACTAAGGTATGTTCATGAAATGATACGACCATGAGATGTATAAGGATGATAAGGCTATGACAAGTTTAGGAAACAATATGACTACCAAGTATTTATGAAATGATAGGATTATGATACGACATGTGAATGACGGATATATATATATATATATATATACATACATACATATTGTAATATGATATGAAATATGCTATGGTACGAGATCTGTGATAAATTGTCATGTTCATGATATGATATATTGTACTACGATATGTTATAGTATGATATGTATATAATGAAAATTGTTATGTCTGAAAGCATGAAATGTTATAATATGACATATTTATGTAATCTGAATGATATGATATGATTGACATGCAAAACAATGAACTAGCATGAAATACAATTCCGGCGTATGCATGAAAGATATGATAAACGATATGAGGATTGTTATGAAAAAACGATATGATATGTACAGAACACTAGTGCGGTGTATTAAACAATAATAAAAATGGGAACATATTTAAACCTCATGCATTATTGTGTGCTCATGCATTGGGGGATACCTATATTCCTTCACGATGGTACGGATGCGTACACTACTAGGCAGGAGAACGACCATCATGTTTGACATAATGTTGTCGTGATGGCTACTACTTCTAACAGGTTTCTTGCATAATGAGCTACTAGAGCATGCTTGCCTGACAAGGAAAGGGGCCAGCGGTGTGCGAACTGACTGGTGGGTTCACACTCGCACGTGTGAGCTGTGTGTAGAGTATAAAGTACACATCCAAGCTGCCCGTTAGATAGTACCATAGGAAAACAGACTGTTATGATAGGTCCCATCATTGCATTTAACCCCACCTATACGGCTGACGACAACATCGCAACTCGAGACCATGACACATGCATAAGATAGTCGTATTTATTTTTTTAGACTTAGGCTAGAATAGAATGTTTTTAATTTAAACGTTTATTTATTTTACTTAGTTTTTGTTGTGTTGTTTTAAAGGTGTTTTCAAAACACGTATGTCCATGACTGTGTTTTAAGATGAAGGTGATGTTTTATGAAGTTTCAATGAAGTATTTCTGCATTCAATGTTTATGATAGGTATACAGTGGTGACCTTAAATTAAGTAAAAAAATTTGGGTCGTTAGAGCTGGTATCAAAGCTCTAGGTTATAGATCTTGTAAACTAGTCTACGATGTTCCGTCACCGTTAAGTATAAAATAAGAAAATGAAATGTCGGCCATGGTGTCCAAAATATAAAAAAAGAAAGAAAAAAAAATTCCAATTTTCCCCGCCATCTGCTTCTCTCTCTTCCTCTGTCGTTAGGGCTGGTCTTCATCTCCATTTCCCCTCTCTAAGCTCAGCTTCCGCTTCAGAATTCCATCTCCATTTCTCTTCCTTCAACCTCTCTACTCTTCATGCTCTTTCTCTGCGGATCCCTCTCTTTTCAATGACTTTGTTCCCCTCCGCTTCTGCTTCTTCCTCTGCCTCCGCTCACCGTGGCATCGGCTTGTCTAATTCTTTACACTCCGAGGTTGCTCCCTGCTTGCCTTTGCCATCGCTTCCGGTCTTCTTTGGCGCCTCCTACCCCCTGCTCCGCCTCTTCGATGAACCGGACGGCAGCTATGCTACTTCAGGGACTCATCATCTCGCTCAGTCTAACAACATCGCTGATCTGCTTCGTGCTACTGACGTGTCTTACTTGTGAGTTTTTTTTTTTTTTTTTTTTATATATATATGTATATTTTTTGGTTTTTGGAACTCAATTCTGGTAATTCGACTTTTGTAATTCTTCACTTCGGTTGGCTGCATTTCGGTTCGGTCGTTCTGATTTTCGGATTTGGCGGTGTTACTATTTCAGTCCCCACGAAACGCCTTTAGAAATTCATAGGTTTAAGCTGACCACTAAATAAGTTGAATATATCTTCAAAACTCTATTTCCATTGGCTATAAGTTTAGGTATATTATCAAAAAAATTTGGATTCTAACTTGAAATTTCCAAATAAAAGAAACTGAAGATCGAGTAAAACAGGTGTTCAAAATAATCAAAATCAAATTGTGGGATAAATACACTTATACCCACTCAGATGTAAAAGTAGTGAAGATCTGGTTATTTAAGAATGACCACTTTTAATATTTATAAAAAAACTACAGAGTTTCCCAACAACTTCAGAAGTTAATTTTCAAAAGCTTCTTCACGCCACATGAGGCAGTTCAACCTCTTCTTCTTTTGTAGGAGAAGAAGAATGGATATGTTTTCTGATATATTCCTTCACCTTTAACTTATCTTTCCTTTTTCAAATTTGTCTTTCAATTATTTCTCTTTTTCTTTATTTCCTTTTTCATCAATTTATTTGATGATTATTTCCTTTTTCTTTCATGTATAGGTTATCATGCTGGTATTTCTTTTTCTTTATAAACTTTATAGGTTGTCATGCTAGTATTTCTTTTCTTTATAGGGTGTCATGCTAGTATTTTTTTCTTACTTTTCAATGTATTACTTTTACGTGGATATGAGCCCATTTTGTCGACTACTTGTAAATTAAGTATTTTTCCATGTAAATTAAGCTAGGATGATAGAGTTCATGTCAATTTTAGAGCTCTAGTTATTAAGCGTTCAGATGATATCAGAGTCTCAATTTTGTAAAGGAAGAGGAGTTACTTAATCTTTTAAGTATGATAGTGCTGAAAGCAGAGAGATGATAAGAGAAAGTTCGGAGGAATTCTGAGTATGTGATAGCTGAGCAAATAGTCCTTGTGTTCCAGGTGGTAAGACGCGGGAAGCGCAGTAAGTTCGTGGGCAAGCTTGGGTGCTTAGTCATACGAAAGATTCCGAAGAAGATTTTATCACCAACTTGATATCTTTATTAGAGACAAAACAAGAATTGACAATTTGTCAGCCACACATCCACACATCGAAGTCTCGCATGTGAATTATCAGTTTTTTACTTTGTAAATGACTAGTCTTTCTAAATTATTAGTCTGCTTTATGTATTGTCCTACTTTTAGAAAACACGCAAGTGTCCTATCCTTCTGGATTTGATCTTATCTCTTGGTTTATGTTTTTCAAATCTACCTTCAAATCCGAAGTCTATAAAAAAGACTTCATCAATGTAAAAAGGGCATTGATCGGCCGATAGCTCTCTCTTGAAAATCAATTGAGAAATTCAGAAAAGAATTATTCTATTCTATTTATCTCTTGTCGCCCATATCTTCATCTTATGAACCAATTTGTTAGAAAACTCAGAAAATCAAATCATTTCAAATGTCTACGGAAGAAGAGAGTTCAAATTAACATAGAAGACGAGAAAATCTCACTATCTCAAATATTGTCAATCAAGAATATCAGATTGCAAGAATCGAAGATCAACTTCAAAATTGGACTATTCCAAAGGTAGATTCTAAAACTATCTACCAAATTTCAACCTTCAATTCTACTTAAAAGATCATGCATCAAATTATCAGTAAAAATATCTCAATTCATAATCTCTCAATCTTTTTTCAAAATCTCTTACACTCCAAAATATCCCAATTCATAGCAATAGGGAATTTCTGAATCTTTTTTCAAAATCTCTTCCACCCAACATCGTGAAGAGTTTAACTATCTTCATGTCGGTCTTGTTCAAGTCGCCGTAAAACCATTATTCAGACTTGGATTAGATATCCTAGTCTATATCTCCCTACGAGATAAGAGACATGAAGACTTCTCAAATTCTTTACTAGGAATGGTTCAATCTAACTCAGAGAATGGACCAATCTATTTCAATTGTTATCCAAATTTTGCTTTGTCGCTCAACGACCCACACATATTATCAGCTCTTATGCTGGACTTAGAGTAAAAAAATTTGAACATCAAGGCTGAAACTCATTCTTCAGTCGTCATATTCAAGGTTTATTATAAGCTCATGAATACAAATATTTCTCCAAGAGCATTAAGATTCTCGCCAAAGGGATCAACCATGCTCATAGAGGCAAATATTGGAAAGTCTTCAGTGACTGTTCCAAAAATTCTCTTTTGGATTAAATAACCAGAAATACTCTCTGGGAAATAGAAAATGCAAATCTTCCAAAAAAAGAAAAGAATCTCAAAACCTAGTCCACATCATCGAACATGACGACGGGAGCGTTGAAATAAAATTTAGCGAAGAACCTTCGTCACATTCGAAAGTAAAAGAATTCCTGAATTCTAGACCAAGCACTTCAGGAGTTTCAAGATCAATGTATGACCCCTTAAAGGTAAAAGAGGTTAGTTATAATCAAAGAAGGGCATCAATCCACTATAACGATGGCTCAAGATCTCCAACCCATACTCATATGGATACTCAATCTGTCTATGGAAGTCAGCTAAATGTCATCAGAGTTGATTTCCAGATAGACAAGGAATTTCTAAAAGTAGATTTTATGTCAGCTATCAACTCTTCAAAAAGAAATGTCTTCTTTCAAACCTACAAAGAAGTAAGCTAAATGAATTAAGGGCGCAGTGGTATTCTCATACGGAAATGAAAGCTATAGAAGAAAATATACTATTTTTTGAATTGTTTGAAGAAAATATTTTGCAGATATGCACCTTAACTCAGAAGAGCTAGAAGACTACCCCAAGAGGCGAGGTATATTCAAAACATCCTCTGGAAGAAGTTGAATTTGATAACTACTATGGAGAAAAGGTCAAAGCCAATCCTTTCAAAAATATTTCGGAAGGACTAGAAAAGGGTAATCCAACTCTAAAGGATATCAAGAATATCCAGCATCAAAACAATTATTCAAATAAGATTTTATCCACGATTGCTACTCAACTTGAGAGTATCGAGGGAAAAATCTCGAAGAAATCTGGTACTCAGCAAGAAAGCACAAGCAGCTCTGTACCAAAGATCGATGAGTCAATCCCAATACTCAGACCGACAAATCTCGACATATTTACAAGGAGGGTTTCAAAAGAAGAGGCTGCAATGGCCAAGATAGAAGAAAAGTTGGATAGGATTCTAAATCCTGGAATAACACCTCAAGATTCATCTGTCAATGTCGTTAACAATTACGACGAGATCCAAGAGTTCGAAGATGTGATTGTAAATGAGATAGAAGAACCTCTATACAATCGAATTGAAAGGATCTCTAGAAGTCAAAATAATATCAGTAATCAGAACAACTGGTATCCTCAACCGTCTTTCCCGAATATTCAATTCAAAGAAAAGACGCTACAAACTCAAGCCCTCGATGGTCTAACAATCTATGAATGGAATATCGATAGATTGTCCAACTATCTGATAATGAATGTTGTCAATGAGATGCTGATGCCCACAAGCACGTATAAATTACAGGGCCATAAATCTAACCATCAAATAGCTCAAGTTCAAGTAACCGGATTTACTGGGCAACTCAAAAACTGGTGGGACAAATATCTTGACGAATCAACTCGTCAACAGATATTAAACCACTATGTTATTAGGCTAACGACTCAAATCATTAAAGAATAAGGTCCATCAACCAGGACCGAGGTACAACATGAAAGGGTAGAGGATGCTATCAACACCCTCGTCTATACCCTCATAGAATTCTTCATAGGTGACCCCCTGAAATACCAGGAGAGATCTGCCGAAATACTCATGAACCTAAAGTGCCCAACCTTAGGCGATTTTAGGTGGTACAAAGACATGTATTTCAGCAAAGTTCTCATTAGAACGGACAGTTCGTTGGAGTTCTGGAAGGAGAATTTTGTCAATGGACTACCAAAATACTTCTCAAGAAGGATCAAAGACGGTCTTAAGACAAAGTATAATGGAACAATTTCATGGAAAACTTTGTCATACGGATCCATAGCATCTTTCATCATAAAAAAAAAGGACTCAGACTTTGTAATAAGTCAAAGATTCAAAACAAGCTCAATTCTTCGATATCAAACAGAAAAGAGCTTGGAAGATTTTGCGATCAATATGGATACAAGGGGATAGAAGCTCCCTCGACCTCCAGAAGAAAGAAGTCAAAACGTATCCAAAATCATATAGATCATACAGGCCTAGAGAAAAGTATCGGAGTAAACTCGTGCAATCTCAAAAGCCAATGTATTCAAAGAAAAGGTATACCCTACAAGATCCCAAAGAAGCAAGAGAAAGTAAACTTGCTTTAAATGTCGGGATGAAGGACACTATGCCAATAATTGTCCGATCATAGGAAAGATCAATGAGTTGGATATCGATCAAGAGCTGAAAAATCAACTACTACGACTAGCTCTAACCGACTCAGAACAATCCAATGAGGGAGAAATCCTCGAACTTCAAGAAAAAATCCATTATCCGTTTTCATTCGAGAATATGGAATTCTATTTAAAAAAATTACTCAACAGTGAAGAAAGAAATACTTTTGATAGTACTCTGTGTACAAAAATTTCAAAGTGATTTAATTAACAAAAACTTTGTTATCAAAACCAATTTCAGAGCATCCAAATTTGTTTTAGAAAAAGGATGCAAAGAATCTCGTATCTAAACAAATTTTTGCTAGAGGGCAAGCAATTTTCTCTTGCTTCGACTTTCAAATTTTGCCTATAAAAGGGGTCGAAAACCCCTTGATCGTCTGATTGGGTGTGTTCCTTATCTTATCGCACTTGAAACAGACCCCCATGGAGCAAACGCAAAGCTGGCTCACCACTTATTGATGAATATGAATGAGAAGTAATGTCCCCTATGCTCAACTTATTGAGTTGTCACCCTTAAACCTATGCAATATAACTACTAATGGATCTCCTTTCAGGTACCTTACGAAAATGGAATGATTCAGCCTCCGCAACCTGCTCTATTTTCTGACAATATAATTTTATCGGATATGAACAGGTCATTGGAGCTCGACCATACTCGTCCTTTTTGTGATTTTATGTCGACGGATTTGAATCAGCAAATCCCTCCAGAGTCGGTCGCTCATCATGAATTGGGTAATAATAATAATACTACATTGGAGGAAAACTCCATAACATTTGCTCGGTGGATCTGTATAGTATCTCAAAAGATGATCTTCAGAAAATTCAGGTAATTTCAAACACTTAGTTTGATCATATAACTATGTCCACTCAAAAGTTGATTTTGAACCATTAGAGGCATGTATGTTTGAGCCTGGCAGCTATCGCACTGCAACTTCTTTTGAAGCTAAAGAGACATCTAAAGATCGTGTACAGCCTAAACGATGCACGATGCCAGGTACATAATATGCTTGTTAATTGGTATTTATTCACAAAGTAGACAGAACCATTCAACTGGCTCATGTTCTTTTCTGGAAATTAGTCTTTCAATCCAAATGAACCACCAAAACCTGGAGAGTTCCTGTCCAAGCAAAATGTTCCTTCAGACATCAGCGAAACATGCACAACTCTGCCAACATCTTATCAAGAGTTTATGCAAAGATACCAGGTGCGTTTGGTTTTCCATTGTATCATTTATTCTCCCTCTGTCATCTGATTATAAACCCCACAGGATTTCAAGAGCACTCTTAGGGATGATGCATTTGATTACTCCACTTACACAGCAAATATTAAAAGGAAGCGTCCTACCCCAACGAAAGGACGGAAATCAGTGGCAGGAAAGGTAGGTATAGTAGGCGGCGGCGACGATGATAGGTGTATAAGTAAATTGTAACATGCTTAGGTTTAGGCGAGAGACGTTAGGAAAGAAAAAAAGGGTTTAGGTAATCAATCTGGAAACAGCCAATAGAAAAATTGTGGAAGAGTTTGAATATCGTCATGTAAAAACATCCTCATTATTCATTAAAAAAAAAAACAAAAAAAAAGTTGACACATCTTCCAAAAGTGCGTACAAATCTATAACAAATTTGAACCTAAGAAAAAGAAAAAGAAGAGCTTGAAAGGTGGCATTGTTGGAGGCTATCAATCAAGGTACGATCACAAGAAGAGGCTGCACAAAAACGAGGAAGAGGAGTTAAGAATTTAGATGAAAGTTTTTTAGGGAAAAGAAAATAAATGGAAGAATATGAGAGAGTGGTACCGTGTCTACGCTGACTGGTTTTCCGTCTTCAGCCAATATTTCAGCTATGGTTCCAGATCTATCAGCCTCAATCTCATTCATTAACTTCATGGCTTCAATTATACATATGATTTGCCCTTTCTGCACTTTATCTCCCACCTACAAAACCCACACATGAATCAAATATATATATATATGGAGGAGTTCAAAGTTTGAGTCCTTCTCAACTTACCTTCACAAATGGAGGTTCTCCCGGGGCAGGGCTTCGGTAAAACGTTCCAGCCATCGGGCATTTCAAAGGTGGATGAGAACCACCCGCTTTCAGTGCCGGGAGAGGTTTTGCAGGAGCAGAAGCAGCTGTAGGTGCAGGTGCCGGGGTCGGTGTCGGTGTCGGTGTCGGTGCAACCATGCTATATGCTTGAGGAGGTGGTGGCAATGCCAGGTATGGACTTGGCTGTAAAGCTTCTTTTTTTCTTATTACAATTTCGCAATCCTGTTGTTTCAGCTGCAGTTCCATGATGTCTCTTGAATCAACAAGTCTGCATATAAAAAGATTTAAAAGTAAAGATTGAACAAACAAAACTAAATTCCCTTTTCACAAATATGGCAGACAGTACGCACTTGATGAGATCTGAAACTTGGCTCATGAAGGCTGATATCGTCGACTCGTCTGGAAGAGAATTTTGATCAGAAACTGCCTCTGCCGCAGACTCATCTTTTCCTCTAGAGACAAGCGCTGGTGCAGAATTTGAAACTTCTCCAACCACCATCTGTGATAAAGATAACAAAAAGTGCATACAGCTACAAAGAAACCTATGGATGTATCTAAAAATAGACGATTAAAAAGCTCATGCCACCAACTAACCTCCTTAAGTGCATGCACCATTGCACCATCAGATTTCTTCTTGTTTGGCTCCTGAAAACACAAAAGTACATACCAAACTCAAAATGTAGTTACGACCACGACTGTGACCATCTCACTCTTTACAGACTCCATTAAGATCGAATTCTTCTCATTATACGAATTAGCAAGAAACACATCTGTGAACAGTTTATGATGATCGTGACAAAGGCATCGATATTTCTCCATCATCATTTAGCTTCAAAATGTTTACTATATTGACCTTACTTCTAAAATCAACTGGTAGGTACAAATTTTCCAAAGCAGCAGCTTAGGTTAGTGGAGTTGTAGGAGTCATAAAAGCTAGTAGGTGATTTTGGATTAGCTCCTGGGATTTCGAGTTTCTTTTCACTAACATAAACTCCAAACAAGGACAAATGAGATCCCCAGCTAACAAACAATTTCATTGAAAACATGAAAGTGGGTCTAGGAAGCTACAAAAAGGCCTTCCAGTTGCATGAACATAAGATCATCCTTCTAATACAGAACATCGCTTCTGAAGCAAAGATTCTGTATGCTCTTTTTCTTAAACCATAATCTTTCTTTCTTTCTTTCTTTCTTTCTTTCTTTCTTTCTTTCTTTCTTTCTTTCTCTGGGTTATGATTCTAATTGAACAACAAAGTGCTACAAACGAAAAACAACTATGAATCAAGACTACGAAAAAAGAATTAGAAACTCGTCACCAAATTCCAAAACAAGATAAGTTCTGTCTTCTAAGTCCTGAAACTGAAACATTAAGATGTCCCAAATTCCATCAATTACTTTCCTACACTCGCCCCCCCACATGGTTTAATAAAAAAAGCATTTCCATTCGGAGAGAATTTGCAAAAGATCTTTCTAAATTACGTTAATCATGGAGCACATTCAGAGTTAAGAGATTGAAACAGCAAGAATCCATTCCAAGAAAATGCAATGAACAGAGTTACAGACCTGAATCCCAGAAAATGGTGGGTGGACAAAAGAAGACCCAAACGAAAATGAATCCTTCAGGCAAAATGGGCGGCGATGAAGAGAAAGATTCTGCTTAATGTGGGTGCGATGCCAGTTGTTGTGAGAGCCGGAACGGAAAGCGGGTAGAGTGGAAGGCTTGGGGCATGGGACCGTGAAGGACGCCATTGGAGAGCAACCCAGAAGAAGGTACAAAGAGGGTCTGAGTTGGAAAGTGGGGAAGTGGGTGTAGGAAATGGGAGTGCGATCTGAAGGAAAGCGAATGAGGGGGAAAAGAGGGGGCGGATTCAGAAAGAAATAAAAAAGGAAGAAGGGGCGATGAGATCCAAGAGAAGGGAGCGTGGCGGGGGAGGCGAGAAAGGGGAATTTGGGAATTTGGGGTTTAGAGGTTTTATTGTTTGGAGAGATTTCGATGATCACAATGCGATGCAGTGCGATGTTGAGAGAGCATTAAATCAACATCGCCGTTTTCATTACAGCAAACCATCACATGCATTTGCTTCTCTCTCCTCTTCCCTCCATTCTCTCTCTCTCTCTCTCTCTTTCCCAACAACATGTGTACGTGGTACTTCAAAATTCAAATCTTTTGCTATCCATGATCAAATCTTTTGCAATCCATGGTCAATGATTTAGGTTCTAGTGGGTGGAAACTTGAATATGTTCAAATGACTCGAAAATATTCGACTACCCAAACTAAATTATAGAAGTTAGATTGGGTTCAAGATTTAAAGCGCCAAAGCGTTAAGCGGCAGCCATTAAGTGGAGAATTTCCATTCATTTGTTGTCTCATTTGCTATCTCAAATCATAATTATGCAATTGGCCCAGTTGGAATATCCGACAGTGGAATCAACGAATTGATCTATCCTAGATTCTTTCAAGTTTTGGTTCGTTGAATTTTTTAAAAATTGAAAAATTCAAATTGGTTAGTAGGTAGACATTTTTTTGGTGACCCATGAGAATATTTGTTAAGTCCACCGTACCTATTGTAACAATAAGGGTTTCAAAAAGGAAGGAAAAAAAACGCCTTAAATCTCATCGAAAATCGCGAGATTTTCGGTGAGGCATGCCTTGCCAACAAGGGCGTATTAATTCCTTAAGTCCCCATATTAAACCCTAGGTACCTTAGTAACCGTCTTTTCCTTTTGAGTCATTGTCATACCTGTGAGGGAGGAGTCGAAAGGTTTAGGTGAGGAATCAAAAACGTCGCGAGACTTCAGACTTCTGTGAGTCCTTAGGTAGGAGCAAACCGACGCCAGGGCACTTCATAACTAGCGGGACAGACACACTGCCAAGGACAAACAGAAGGCGGTGGTCTCATCGGCAACGGCAGTCGAACTCTGTGATTAGGGTTCATCGGGTACCCGTGAGCTCTACGATTAAGGTCGGGTTCTACGGGTACCCGCGAGCTCGATCAGCCAACATGTGGCCCACTGTTGCAGCCCGTGCCTTGCAGTCCGCGTCAGACACTAACTTTGGGGCGCATATCCATTCCAACCCAAGACCAGCGATACCAGCCTGCATCCAGGAGTTGTGCGCCACCAGGGACCTTCTCGGCTTGTCGGCTCAGTGTTTCGGCTCTGCGGTGTGGCTTGACGGCTCAGCTTAATGGCTTGGTATACAAATAATATACCGATTCCTAGGTTTTCGACCCTTCTGGAGCCGTTCCCGCCCTTATTTTAGGCATCTGAGGAGGTAGTTAGACGTGGACGTTAGCTTATCGCGAGTACTTTGGCCAAGGCCAAGAGGTAAGTAACCTTACTGTTGGTGTTAGTTATGTATGTATGATGGTGTGCCCTATGGCCCTTGCATGCACCATGTGTGTTGTTGATGTATTCTAGGTTATGTGTTTCTTGCCGCGAAATGCTACGTATGCCATGTTTATGTATGTGATGTTCGTGCCATGACTTGCTACCCTGTATGCATGAGCTTGATTGACAGGTCACGATTGTAATGGGAACTCTGCATGCCATGAATGTGATGACTAGTGTGCTATGATATGCTTACTCGATGTTTAACCCAGTTATGCTATGTAATGCGGTGAGGGGATGGAACGTTGTATGTATAATGCCATGGAGGTAAACCTTAGGGGCCTCATGCACGCTATGTGTTAAGTACACGGGGTTACTTCTCCGTTATGTTAATGATGGTACGGACGCGTACGTTCGATATTATGCTCGCTATGATATCATGCAGGCCCTCCTTTTCCGTGGCGTTCGATATTGTATGTCATACGTACCCGACCAAGCCAGGCCTAGGGAGTTCGCATGCGAACTCGCCTGGTGAGCCCACGATTACGTACGTGGGCCATGCGTGGGGAGCTACCATGCATCCACCCTGCCTGGACAAAGCAAGGGCCTAAGGCCATGGAAAGGAATGGAAGATAGGTTCCCCTCACGTTTTCTTTCATTTAGTACTTGTGCTTATGTATGTGTGTTGTATGCGACCGGCATGTGTTATGAATGTATGTTGTATGCTTAACCCCAACAGTGGGGCGACTTACTGGGTATTTTATATAATACTCAAGCCACGTGCTACCCATATTTTCAGGTAAGGGCAAGGCCCCTATGTACGGCTGACGGTGAGCGCTGCGAAGGCCATGGAAGTCTTAGAGAGGGCTTGTAGTGTTGTAGGCGTCTTATTTGGACTCTTTCGAATGATAGTTAAATTGCAATTATTCCTCCTAGTTACCTGTTGATTTATTTCTTAGTTAGGTTGTCGATATTGTTTTCCCTAGATATGAACTACTTATAATAATGAACATGTCATCACTATTGAGGTTGTCTTACATAAATTTTCGTACTTTTGTCACACGAGTGCAAGGTAACGCCGATAATTAGGTTAGAGAAAATTAGGGGCGTTACACCTATGCTTGTGAAAATTCTCTATTTATAATCATTTATAGTATAGAGAAGAACTATGGTAAATTAGAAATGATATGGAAATAATAATAAATTGATACAAGACATTTGTCTATAATAAGTCGTAATGGAAGACAAATATATAGATATTTCCCTATAATAAAC